GCCACTTAGTTTTCCTCTCAACACCGAACCATCTGTATAGATAACCAGATCACCTAGGCGTGAATTTTGAAAAGACTGTTGGACTTTCTTCTCTGTAGCACCGCTGGAAACTCTGCACACCCGGCCCAATGTTTTCTTAACCCTACACAGGTTAGACTTTTTTCACTGGTACTCTGACCAGCTCCTTTCCTTGTCCAATGTTCTCCAGTATGCATACTTGATTTATTGTGTCTTCTGCTTGAGCCATCCACGATTTTCCCCATTGTCCCCGTTAGTATAAACATACTAATAGCTAGTGCCCTGAATAGTCAAAGCTTAGTTTTACATGAAATGTTTTTAATAATGATTTTGTTTTAAATTATGAAAATAATACTCTAATAGAAATGTAGGGTGTGGCATTGGTTTGCCTGTGGACGACTGCGTCGCCGGTTGGGACAGTATTTGAGTCTGTTTCCTTTGATCGCATCATCACTGCAGGAGTTCTTTTTCAGGGCTCTTGGAAGCGTGCAATGCTAAGCTTTTATATGGCGCCTATCGCCTGGACAGCAAGACAGCTGAATAGGAAGTCGGCATTGTGACACTTGAGGGGGTAGGGGGTGGGTTTAACAGATACGTTACAGACAACAGTGGACCGACATTAGGCAGCGCCCAACAACCAGAGTTCTAAGAATAATCTATGAGTGTAAGTATGGACATATGAATATATATTGACACAACAAATCAGAAAAAATAGCAACCATGAAAATGAGATGTCTCAGAAGGTCTGCATGAGTGACCAAAAGAGATAAAAACAGGGATGAGGTCCAAAAAAGGCAAGTCGGGATATAATCAATTCTAAATTACATATGAACACAGCAAATCACATGGTTTGCACACTTATAGAGAATGTTTTGTGACGCTACAATGTGTAAGACATACATGAAAAGTGGGAAAATGATGTAAACACGAGGTAGACAAAGAAACAACATGGAAAGCAATCATCAGAAAAATTCTACATCAGCAAAATGTGTGTATGGTCGAGGCAGTTAAACAAACAAAAAGCAGAATATTTTACCTCCCTCTATTCTATACATGAAGCGGTTAAAAAAAAAAAAAGGGGGGGATGGGGGGGGGGGCAACATGTGTAACGAACATGCTAACTTTTTTTTAAAGAGGATTAAAAATCGGGCACGCAGGCCTGTCTAGCATTCTGTGTTTCCAAATCCACTTTTTGCACACTGTTATTCATTCGTACATTATTTCATAGTTAATTTGAACAGAAATGTTCGCAACATCTAGATTCTAGTTCTTACTTACAAAGGCTTGTAAGTGCTATAAATATACTGACATCATTGACCTTTAAAAAACTATAGTTATAAACATAATTCAACAACAACATAACATAACATAACCCTTGACCCGTCAGGATCGTGGATATGTATCAATGGAACCAGCAGCACACAAAACCAGCCTCCCTTCTCCGTCTTCCGTTTGATGAAAAAGTGCATGATAACATAGTTGTGTCCCTTTCTTGATATTGTCATTCCATTATTGTTATCTCCTCCTACTCTTCACACCCCCCCCCCCCCAACCACCCCTTTTTTTCTCTACCCCCGTCCCCAATGAAGTTCAGTCTTCACAATCGAAGCATGTCACACCACATACCCGACACAAGCTAGCTTGCTACGTTTCACCACTGCCAAGAGAGGCTCATGATGTCCAGCAAACTTGCGTATTTTGTCTCTGACTATCTTTGTCTTCTAAATTAACTAATTCGTAAAATTCCTCGATATCATTTACAATTGAAAGCAGAAATCATCCTTTCCATTTCCACAGTGAGAGTCCTCACGTTGATTTTTATATATTGACTTTAACTGCGATGCCGATGCACAACTTTGACCCCTCCAATGCTAATTGGTTTATCAAAATATTAGGCTAGTCCCATGTAACTAATACGTTAAATAACAGTTTATATTGAAATAATAGGGTGTCATATGTCTTGCTATATAAAAGAGGTATTGAAAGAATAGGGTGTCATATGTCTTGCCATATAAAAGAGGTATTGAAAGAATAGGGTGTCATATGTCTTGCCATGTAAAAGAGGTATTGAAAGAATAGGGTGTCATATGTCTTGCCATATAAAAGAGGTATTGAAAGAATAGGGTGTCATGTGTCTTGCCATGTAAAAGAGGTATTAAAAGACTGAAGTGTCATGTGTCTTGCTCTCTAAAAGAGGTATTGAAAGACTGCAGTGCCGTATGTCTTGCCATCTCAAAGAGATATTGAAAGACTTCAGTGCTACATGTCTTTCCCTCTAAAAGAGGTATTGAAAGACTGCAGTGCTACATGTCTTGTCCTCTAAAAGAGGTATTGAAAGACTGCAGTGCTACATGTCTTGTCCTCTAAAAGAGGTATTGAAAGACTGCATTGCTACATGTCTTGTCCTCTAAAAGAGGTATTGAAAGACTGCAGTGCTACATGTCTTGTCCTCTAAAAGAGGTATTGAAAGACTGCAGTGCCGTATGTCTTGCCATCTCAAAGAGATATTGAAAGACTGCAGTGCTACATGTCTTTCCCTCTAAAAGAGGTATTGAAAGACTGCAGTGCTACATGTCTTGTCCTCTAAAAGAGGTATTGAAAGACTGCAGTGCTACATGTCTTGTCCTCTAAAAGAGGTATTGATAGACTGCATTGCTACATGTCTTGTCCTCTAAAAGAGGTATTGATAGACTGCAGTGCTATATGTCTTGCCATCTAAAAGAGATATTTAAAGACTGCAGTGCTACATGTCTTGCCCCCTAAAAAAGGTATTGAAAGACTGAAATATCGAATTAGTCATCTTATTAGTTAGTTGCGTATCCTTTACAGGACGTTGCAGAACCAACCCCAACAGCCCCTGGCTGTTATGTGGTTTCTATAGGCAAGTTACATCCAGTAGTTTGCATTGCCCCTGGACGGTCGGCTTTCTTGATACCACTGTCGAAACCAACGCAAGGCGCATTGCCCGCAGCTGGGATCGAACCTGGCATCCCGGCATTACGAAGCGAAGCATTCGCACCGACTTAGCCACAGAGCCGACAGTCATATCATTACGTCTTTAAAAATAGTTGAAAAAATAGTATGTTTGCTGTTGTTCTTTGCAACAATGCTGACTACATTAAAAAAAGTTGAAAAAATAGTATGTTTGCTGTTGTTCTTTGCAACAATGCTGACTACATTAAAAAAAGTTGAAAAAATAGTATGTTTGCTGTTGTTCTTTGCAACAATGCTGACTACATTAAAAAAAGTTGAAAAAAATAGTATGTTTGCTGTTGTTCTTTGCAACAATGCTGACTACATTAAAAAAAGTTGAAAAAATAGTATGTTTGCTGTTGTTCTTTGCAACAATGCTGACTATATTAAAAATAGTTGAAAAAATAGTATGTTTGCTGTTGTTCTTTGCAACAATGCTGACTACATTAAAAATAGTTGAAAAAATAGTATGTTTGCTGTTGTTCTTTGCAACAATGCTGACTACATTAAAAAAAGTTGAAAAAATAGTATGTTTGCTGTTGTTCTTTGCAACAATGCTGACTACATTAAAAATAGTTGAAAAAATAGTATGTTTGCTGTTGTTCTTTGCAACAATGCTGACTATATAAAAAAAGTTGAAAAAATAGTATGTTTGCTGTTGTTCTTTGCAACAATGCTGACTATATAAAAAAAGTTGAAAAAATAGTATGTTTGCTGTTGTTCTTTGCAACAATGCTGACTACATTAAAAAAAGTTGAAAAAATAGTATGTTTGCTGTTGTTCTTTGCAACAATGCTGACTACATTAAAAAAAGTTGAAAAAATAGTATGTTTGCTGTTGTTCTTTGCAACAATGCTGACTACATTAAAAAAAGTTGAAAAAATAGTATGTTTTGCTGTTGTTCTTTGCAACAATGCTGACTACATTAAAAAAAGTTGAAAAAATAGTATGTTTGCTGTTGTTCTTTGCAACAATGCTGGACTACATTAAAAAAGTTGAAAAAATAGTATGTTTTGCTGTTGTTCTTTGCAACAATGCTGACTACATTAAAAAAGTTGAAAAAATAGTATGTTTGCTGTTGTTCTTTGCAACAATGCTGACTACATTAAAAAAAGTTGAAAAAATAGTATGTTTGCTGTTGTTCTTTGCAACAATGCTGACTACATTAAAAAAAGTTGAAAAAATAGTATGTTTGCTGTTGTTCTTGCAACAATGCTGACTACATTAAAAAAAGTTGAAAAAATAGTATGTTTGCTGTTGTTCTTTGCAACAATGCTGACTACATTAAAAAAAGTTGAAAAAAATAGTATGTTTGCTGTTGTTCTTTGCAAACAATGCTGACTACATTAAAAAAGTTTGAAAAAATAGTATGTTTGCTGTTGTTCTTTGCAACAATGCTGACTACATTAAAAAAAGTTGAAAAAATAGTATGTTTGCTGTTGTTCTTTGCAACAATGCTGACTACATTAAAAAAAGTTGAAAAAATAGTATGTTTGCTGTTGTTCTTTGCAACAATGCTGACTACATTAAAAAAAGTTGAAAAAATAGTATGTTTGCTGTTGTTCTTTGCAACAATGCTGACTACATTAAAAAAAAAAAATGCTGTCCCTACGCATTTCTATTTGCTCCAAAACAGGTTTAAAACGAAAATTTTAGGTTAAAAGAAAGTACGTACGCTAAGCAAAATCTTGCTTATCTTTCTCAAGGACACATGCTTGACATCGATGACTTAATCAGCAGTTTTAGAGTTTGTGTAGCGTACATTTTTAGGTGGATACTGTATAAATAAAAAGCTGCCCTAAAGGTTCATCTGTGAAACGACATTCAACTAAAACACGCACGATAATTTATTCTATCATTACCTGAGACTGTTGGAGCTTCAGAAGCGATATTTTATTAAACAGGCATTATATTAATACGAGTATTCTTGCATGACAATCAATTCATCAGTTCGTTAATGAAAGCAGTGTAGCTATACATTAATGTTATAGACAATGATGTTTCAAGCAATGACAACGGGTTGGATTCTAGCAGTGTTACTCCTTGGAAGCGTCTGTGTTGGCCAAGAAGAGCTTCTTGACAACCCGAGCTTTGAGAATGGTATCAGCGGCTGGAAGCATGATGGCTTTACCATGGATGTGGAAACGACGGAGGTTCACGGGGGCAGTATGGCTGTCAAGTGCTACGGAAGGTGAGTTCTCCTGCCCATGATGTGTTCTACTTCACAGGTTCCCAAAACACAGAACCCGACCCTATTTGAGCTCGCAAAGATATCTCTGTTTAGCCACTGGGCAATAGTGACCTATGGAGAAAAAAAGCATCATCATCGCGTCCTGTAGAGATTGGATATTATTGTCATATATATTTAACTGAAAAGCCTGTGCTTAGTGTGTTTTGATTTACCCTTTACAGAGCCTTATTTTTTCAATGTACGTGTCAGTTTGCCTCTACAAAAAGGAGTCGCAACAAGAAACATTTTGGGATCTTTGCTCTACTATACTGGTTAAGCTGATTTAAGAAACGGCATTCGGGAAATACCCATAAGCGCTCCGTTCCCATCTTCGTCAGCCAACTCAGAGTTCCAATTCAAATCAATGCTAGTAGTAGCCTTATTATGTGTCTGTCTTGCCTTTCCACTGAGAGTCGAGTGATAGTCTCTACCTGTGTTAGCTTTTTACTTCCTCACACCATCTGATATTTTAATCAATTTGCTGTTAATTATTATTTTTTTCCTATTGTGTTCACTTTATGTGTTCAATTTTGTCTGCTTTCTTCTATCTCTGTTGTGTCTATTACTTTGACATTAGCGATAATTTTCTGTAAGCACCTCTTTTCTGTCTTTGCACTGTATATTTCATGTATTTTAAATTGCTTCCTACTGAGTGTCTTTTAATCGGCAGTACGTTCAATTTTCTTATCTTCTCTGTCCAAACAATTCTTAGTATTCAGTTTACATACCAGTTACTGAAAAATTACTGAGGCCATTGAAGAAAACCTTGGAAATAATTCACAGTTATTGATGGAAACTCGCTGAAGTAACTAATGAAAAAAAGAATAGAGGAAACGGCAGCTTTTAACTGGTTCAATGAATACAACAAATAGGCCCCATGGAGTAAACAGTTGCGTATCCCTTTCAGGTGGTTGCAAACAAATACCCAAAATGGGTACCAGGTAAAGTTCAGGGTAGTAAAGGCAGCCGGCGTGGTGTTGACCACATGACCCCTCCCCCCCCCCCACCCCCACTGCCGACTGGTGTATACAAACATGAGACTAGCATCCTACTTTTAACTCGCCAAAAGCGTCAGTTCCTTATACCTTCTAACTGACTGGCTGACTTACTTACTTACATGTAACACACAGTCTGGTGGAAAAAAAATGTAAATGTTCTACCAGCAGATGAAAAAAAAGCTAATGGAAAAGGTATGAAGAGAAGAATCAGCAGCAGCATATTCAGCATTAGCAGCAATAGCAGCAGCAGCAGCAGCAGCAGTAGTATTAGTAGTAGTAGTAGTAGTAGTAGTAGTAGTAGTAGTAGTAGTAGTAGTAGTAGTATTAGTAGTAGTTGTTGTTGCTGTTGTTGTTGTTGTTGTTGTAGAAGTAGTAATAGTATTTACAGAAGAAGAAGAGGAAGATAATGATGATGATGAATGAGTATGGGAATTATAAAAAAACAAAGACGAGTAAGAACAGATCATTTATACCCAGTTTGTTTGAAGTTTTATTTCCAATAATCTCCCTAATATAGAACTCAGTCTTGGGAAGGCCCTGCACAAGATGTGAATGTCAAGCTTGGGGGCAGATATGCCTTCAGTGCTTACTTCAAGCTCATCGATGATCTGCCACCCAAAGGGCCTCAGCCAGTCATGATCAAAATTGCCATTGGCTACGATGACGGTAAATATTATCATCTCTGGTTTGTCATCGTTGACTCTTTAAGCAAGCTATTTAGCCAAATACATTTGTGAAAATGAAGACAATTTCAGTTAAATAAGTTTGGTAATAATGAGTTTATTTAGCATCTATGCACAGTTTTTGTAGAAAGTGAAAAAATTAATGTAAAACGTGTTCTTTATGTTATTTATATTTCGCCCTTAAATGTAGGGCCTCTGAAACACCCCTTTCCATATCATAATACTATCATTAACATTAACACTATCATTTAGCCGCAAATGGTCAAAAATTTTACTACTGTCTTTTCACACCCGAGGATTCTCACCGAGCAGTTAATTATTATTGCTTTAGTCAATAATGACACAACCCCCCCCCCCCCCCCCCACCTTTTTTGTTTTCTCCGCTCTACGACTGTTTCCGCATGATAATGTTTATAAAAATGTCAATATTAGAAAATAAAGCCGATATAGATAAGATGATATTAGATTATGTTTCTTCTTCTTCTTCTTCAGCCTTCCGAACCCTTGAGGTTACATTGCTGCAGATATTATCCGCCTCCATTCATCTCTATGGTGGGCCCTTTCTTTCCAGTTGGTGACACCAAGTGTTTGCTGGTCTGTCTGGATATTATCTATCCATCGTCTTCTTGGTCTGCCTCGCAGTCTACCACCATAAAACTTCTCGGTGTATACAGTTTTTACTTCTGTGTCGTCTGACATTTTTTCAATATGTCCCAGCAATTTACGTCAATTAGCTCTCATGATGCCAGTGATCAGTGGTGATTTAAACAGAATTATGAATTTTGTTGTTGCTTCTCACTCTCCATTCCCCGTTGTTTGCATCTTTGATGGGTCCAAAGATTCGTCGTAAGACTCTGTTTTCAAAAACCTGTAATAAGGCTTCATCTCTTTTAGTTGTGCTCCAAGTTTCAGAGCCATATAACACGACTGGTCTAATCAAAGTTTTATATATTTTGATCTTGGTGTTGCGAGACAGACACTTTGACTTTAGCAGATGTTGAAGTGCATATTATACTTTATTTCCAGATTGTATTCTAGATTGTATTTATTCTCTGAGCATGTTGCAGCAGTTGAAGTTTGTACCCAAGTACTCATGTTTCCGTTCGTTTGATTTTCATATTATCGACTTGCATGTGGCCGGAGTTTATATCCTTTCCCTGTCTAGTTATTATCATGTATTCTGTCTTATCTTGACTGGTAACTAGTCCCATTTTCTGAGCTGTTTCTTTTAAGACAGTCAGTGTTTAAACAGTCTCTAGTTCGTTTTTTCCCATCGATATCAATGTCATCAGCACATCCAAGTAGTTTTCTCCTATACATTTCCCTGTATAGTATATTTAGGTCACAGTGAAGGTTTGCCATATGTCTCCATCTTTAATCTGATAGGTCAACTGCTGGGACTAGTCCATCTCTTTTCGCTGAGCTGTCTTGCTTTCAACCCCCTCCCCTTCCATGGTGGTTTTAAAAAGAGTTTTATGTCTTCTAATGTGACCAAAATATTTCAATTGTCTCTGTTTTTTTTTTTTAATTTATTTCTGTAGCCCTCCTTTTATTTAGTCTTCCCAGAATCTCTGTATTTGACTGTTTTTTTGTTGTTGTGTGTGTGTGTGCCTTACGACCTACACTTTTATAAATCCAGATTTCCAGAGTCTCAGTTGGAGCTTTATCAATTTGATGACGTTACATAACTGAATATATGGCTATCGACTGCATATCTAGAGATTAAATGGTTACAGAATTGATGGTTGTAGATTATATCAGATGTTATCTTTAGTTTAGATGGTTATCATCATCATCAATATCCTTTGTGTGCCGTTAGACGTCAGAAAGGGCTTGCATTCGATTCCTCCACTCTGTTCTATTAGAAGACATTTTCGATTTCTGACACGGAGTTTATCCCAGTATTTTTGGTCTTTCGTTATAATGTTCTTAATGTTTCCTTTAGAAATCCTCTTTCTCTCACAACGTTTGTTTCCCTTTTTCCAATCTGGAGCACCATTTCTCATTTTTTTCTTAAAACTTGGAGCTCCATAATTTGTTAAAGCTTTTAAAAACTGCTGTTGCTTTGCTATTGCATATCATAATAATTAGGTCAAGATACTAATAAAATCTGACCATTCAGGGCAATTTAAAATTTTTTTTTTTTTTTTGAAGCCCTACTCTGACTCTTGTTAGGAGCCGCAAAATAGCCCGGCCAGAAATATGGTGTAATGGCTGAACTCGGTTTCTGGGACCTCTCCACGGGTGTTCCTCATCCACATGGTGGCACTTTGTGTCATCGGGTGTTTATCGCTTGTGTGATGTCCTAGTGGGGTGAAAGTAGACAGATAGATAGATATCATAATTTCATTCGTTGCATCTCATTGAGAGTCAAAATTACTATCCAAATAGGTGAAATAGTCCGTTACTTTTATTGGTTGGTTCTCTATCATGACTTTTACATGATCTGTTGTTGGTATCTTTAATATATCTGTTTTCTCATAACTTATTTGTATTCCTATTTTTGATGCTGTGGACGACAAATCGTCTGTTCTTCTTTGCATGTCTTTGTTTTTTTTTCAATATCATTTGTAAAATCCAGATCTTCTAGTTGCATATTCTCTACACAGTCAGCGCCAGTATTGCCTTTCAACATTTTTGTTTTCATTACCCAATGAATGGCTACTCCAAACCACACTGGAGATGGAATGCAGCCTTCTTTCACTTCAGTTTCCTCTAAAAACCAGCCACTCAGACCATTTTTACTGCGCACTGCATATTCTGAACCATTGTACACATTTCTATTGATGCGTATTATTTTGGATGGTACGCCGTAGCATTCCAAAAACTCCCCATAGTGAAATTCTATGCAAGCTATCGAAGGCCTTCTTGCAATCAGTAAAATTCAGGATGAGGGGTGGTTCCTTCTCAGAGTGTTCTTTAAAAAAGGTCTCAGGGTAATTATTTGATCCAAACAACTTCTTTCATTTCGAACACCAGCTTGTTCTTCTCTCATAATTGAATGAATTGATTTTTTACTTCTATTCAGGAGTACTTTGCGAAATTTATTTGACCTAACCTTATAGATCGTTAAAGGCTATATTATATTTGATTAGTTTCACAAATTATTATACATTTGTAAGTGAATGACACCCAACGTGATGTTTCATTATTCCAGGCACGACAGATTACTTTGAGTTGACAGGCCGTGTTCGTGTCACTCCTGAGGATGGGTGGGTGCAGCTTGGATCAGATTTTATCTTTCCGAACAAACGTAAGTAAAACGAACACATCTTCACATTTTTCTAGCTTTTTTTGCATTTCATTTAACCCCCGCCCATTCTTCTTTCCGTTGTTCCTGTAAGGATAGCTGTCTGATAGTTTGACCAAACTTCTTCTTTTTGTCGTCTAAATGATACCAGGCTGTAGCCCAGTGTCGTTGTTTTCTGTATTTATCTTACGCCTATCGGGTGGCTTGGATAATGGATTTGTTCATCTTTTTGCAGGTTTCAGCCACACCATTTATCCGTCTCTTCCTTGGTCTTCCCCTTGATTTTATCCCAGATATTCTGCTATAAAAAATCTCATATGCAGTTTAATATGGCTGCATTTTTATTAGAGGGCCGAAACATTACATTCTTTGTCTGTCAGTATAATCCAGACATAGTTTTATTGCAGCTTTCTCTCTAATGCTGGTATTCGTAACCCTGTCCCTTCCTGTGTTTTACGAATACCATCGTTTGACCACATTGAAACTATACAATTTCAGTCTAGATGGCAAACTATCAGGGCAGATACCCCGTGCAACCTCCAGTTATTAGTTATGTTATAAAAAGATAAGTTATAATTAGGACATCTGTAACGGCAATACCGGCTTGGTGTAAATTGCAGACATGTGTGCGTAATGAATGCAGACAGCTTTGCATTTCATGTCATCATCATCATCAAGTGTCTTGCCGACAGGCGTAGGCGATCATGCCTCTTCACAGTATGTGATTTTCCAACAGTATGTATCAGTTTGTGTGTTGACACCACTTCATGTCATGACAAAGGGCTGCCAAGAATCCTTTCGATGTGTCTCTCTATGTCTCTTCCTTTCGATGTGTCTCTCTATGTCTCTTTCTTTCGATGTGTCTCTCTATGACTTTTTCTTTTGATGTGTCTCTATATGTCTCTTTCTTTCGGTGCATTTAATTTAAAAGGACCCTTTCCTATATTAGACATATAGGGCTTCACTGTATTGTATAGACCAATCAGCACTCGATGTGCGATGTGGTCAACATAAAACCGGCCACCTTTACTTCCTAGGAATTTACCTGGTACCCGTTCAAGGCTGGGTTGATCTGTGATGCAAGGTAATTAAAATCCGCAGGCGAGCATCTAACCGCAACACCATGGCCGCTTTCCAATTTAGCATTGCATTTAGTGACCATTAAAAAAGGACGTCGAGGCTTGTGAACTTCAGTGTTATAGATTTATTCTGATATCCTATCAGTCAGGGAGTAAAAATATACTGATATTCTACAGTATCAAAGAAAACCGAACCATACATTGCATTATGTCTGTGAAACGAAAATACCAGTGAAGTGTTAAACCTCGTAGCTACTTAGATCCCATTATCAGTTCCGAGGCCCCATTTGTTGGAGGGGGGAAGGGGAGGAGGGAGATTAGACTTAGTATTCCTTAAAAAGTATTTTATGAAAGGCGACTAATTCACAGTTAGCTGAAACTGGATAGGCTTGGCCAAAAAGCAATAATATCGCAGCCTTGCTGCTATACCACAACACAACCTGCCAACCACCCTGTTAAAGTTAAAAGCAGAAAAAAGAAAGATGATAACGAGGATGTGTCCACTGAGGTATCTTCCACAACAGTGTAAATGTACCTACAGTTATGTTCAAGTTGCCCACGACAAGCTGATTGACCTATCTCCCTTATTACGCATTAGGCGCATCGGGTATATGGGCAGAGCGTCCCATATTTTTACAGACCAATCGGCACTGGATGGGTGATATGGTCAACATTACGCCGGCTGTCCTTACTTTCCCAGCACAACCATCCTGATACCCATTTTAGGCTGGGTCGACCTGCGACGCCAAGTAATCACTTTTAACCTTGCTTCATTTGAAATTCAGTTTGGAGACATGGATTGACAACATTTTATCGTAAAATGGTTGCTGTCTGTGTCTGAAAGAAATTTCCTCAGAAAAAAGCTACAACTGCACAAACATTTATAATCCCAGCGTACACTAGTGCAAAGCTGTACCTCGAGGGACCCGGGTCCAGAAGTTTCGTTCTATTTTGACGATGCCAGTTTGAAGGAGATACCAGAAGACACTAACTGGGAAACTGATGCTAATGCGAGAATTGAGAAAATTAGAAAAAGTACCATACATTTTAAGTAAGTAAACGATTGTTGTTTTAAATATTTGTTATACATCCACTGGTGTATAAGGATTGAACGAGTGTAAGACTATTTGTTATACATTCGCTGGTGTATGAGGATTGAACGAGTGTAAGACTATTTGTTATACATTCATTGGTGTATGAGGATTGAACGAGTGTAAGACTATTCGTTATACATCCACTGGTGTATGAGGATTGGAAGAGTGTAAGACAGGCCTGCATGCCCAATTTGTGACCCTTTACAAATAAACTTCGTTCGTTCGTTTTCTTTCTCTCCCTTTCTCTCTCTCTCTCTCTCTCTCTCTCTCTCTCTCTCTCTCCCTCTCTCTCTCTCTCTGTGTAGATATACATATATAAAGTAAAGGACGTTTTTTTACGCCTTTGGGCATAATGGGCTATACCTGTATTACAAGATAAATCACAGAAGCCACAAAATGCTTACATAAAGAATGACAAAGGATGTCTCCGTTCAACGAATGACTGCATGCGATCGACCAAAGGAGTCAGGAGGCTGACGTGCTTTAGCGGCTTCATTTTATGTATATTAATCTAACAGACAGTGTATTGATCGGCACTCATATAAAGAAGTAGAAAGACCGAAGGACACACTAGGCAACATAATTGTCAAAAGCTATAGTTCCCAAGCCTGTTAATCCCAAACCCCGTGTGCGGCCTCGCTATGGAAATAAGTGTACTAAGAACATGACTGGGCTTCAAAGGAGACGAAATACAAATATATGTTTTGTTACTGATTTGTCTACAATAAGTATACAAGGAACACCTACAGAAAACTCGTACTGAGCAATGGAGACATTCTGAAGATCATTTATGAACGAATGCTAATAAACTACACGACATTAGATGACATAACTTGAGTAAGAATGTGTAAACAAGGAATTAGGTGTGGATCGTTCAAGGAGGGACATATGAGAGGAGGAGAACGGCGAGTTTATAATCAGTTTGCTGTGTGAGCAGTTACCATCTACACCTTAAAGCATTTGCTGTGAGAGATGGAGCACCTATGGGTAGGCCCGGTGTGCTGTAATGTCGATTTTTAAATCAGTAAATACAATAGGGAATTCCGGAAAATGTCGGAAGCTAAGTATTATTGAAGGCATACTGATTTAACACATTTTTGTTTCGGGCCTTACTCCTTTGAGTAAAATTATTTGCTGTCTTATACCGTAATGTGTGCCTGGTGTGATGTTCTTTATTTACTCAAACAGGTTTCAGGTTGGGTCAAATTTTGACGCCAAGGACATCGAAGTTCAGGTAAGAATATGTGTTGTTCTGCATTTGTTGTTCTGTTTTCTGTGAACGTGTTGCACACCAGACAACACAGTAATTGAGGACAATGCATCAAGAAGAAAAATAGCCTAACTTTAAAAGATCCTTTTCTTCTGGGTTCGCCCTTAAAAGTGTGGCTAGCACGTTTACAGCTAGGCTGTGATATATGCGTTCTTTCCGGCCAACACATTTAATTTCAGCAACCCTCTAATTCGTTGCCTTTTACCACATGCTTGTTAAAGGACTGCTAGCTGCCTCCCCCCCCCTCTCCCCGCCCTTCCCTTAAATCCCTAGTGGAACCACGGAACCCACACATAGAAATACACAATCTGGAGGCGCAAAAAGCAACGGCATGTTGAGATATTAAACTCAGCAGTGGTTGAGAAAGAATTTTCCAGGAAGGCATCTTTTAAGCTTCACAAACGGTAGAGATACTACAGATGTTTCATACATGTCTGGAACATGGCAAGGATGTGTTGTACATTCCCTTTAATTCATCTCTGATATTCAGGGCCATTCAGCTATGTTTACTCAGGGGCCAAATGTTGGAAATTAGGCATCATCACAGGCCAGAGCCAGAGCTTCAGCAAAGAAAAATCAATAATACCATACAATCGGCAGGTGATCTTTGGGCCATATTCCAGGCCTCTGTCGGCTAGATTTGGCCCCCGGGCCACCAATTATTAGCCCTGGCTTATTTTATCATATTAATCACAATTAAAAGAAAAAAAAAATAACTAGTTTTCTTTGCGATGACCAAACCCTAGTACTAAATACATGAGACGGAAAATCACAGCTTTACTGTTTACATGCAAGATTATCAACTTCATTAGGGAGAGAGTTATGCCACAAGACTCTCTAATGGTCGGCTTGTAGTGAAAGCGTTGCACAATGCAAGCTGTAATTCCAGCAACCATTCCTATGGATCTCTGAGACATTTGGAACCATGGACTGAACGATGTTTTCCGAATCAAACTCATAAACATAAGAACCTAATTACTTAGCCGCCATACAGAAGAAAGTAGTAGTAGTACTTTTTACCCCACTAGGATATAACACAAGCGATAAACACCCGATTACACAAAGTGCCACAATGATGAGGATCACCCGTGGAGAGGTCCTGGCAACCGCATTCAGCCATTTGACTATACGGACATAATTCATGTCAAAACCCCTGAAGTGGCATCATAGGTTACAGAGAATTATATTAACCAAGCAAAGGTCTGACAACAAACACATCAAATATAAACATATTGGACCTTTATGCTGTGTCTAGAATACAATAAACATTTAAAAACGCATTTGGCTGGTCTGTTCAGTGTGTTATATTTAACACACATAAATAAACACAGGAAGCATTCTTGAGGCCCTAGAAACATTATGTATAATAAACAAATCAATAAACAGTATATTCATTGGTTCTCATAGACAGAAGTAAAAAGATACAAGGACACACCAGACAACATAAAAATCGAGAGCTATAGTTACCGTGTGGAAAATCGTACCTGTCACCTCAGTACCACGATGTTCATTTCCTTCGCATATGAAGCAAACACCCAATTTCTCAACAGATGTTTCATTTTAACCTCACCATGAAAGGGAAAATTCATCAATAATAAAAGCGTAGACTTTCAAAGCAACAACAATAATCAATTTAATTTGAAATTTAAAAAAAAAATAATTATCTCCTTTTCTTTAAAGATTGACCATGTCCGCCATCTCTTTGGTTTTGGGTCTGTGGTTCGAAGTGACTTTCTCATAGACGAAGACTACAAGCAGTATCAGAACATCGTGCAGTACATGTTCAACTGGGTGACCAATGGGGACTTTAAGTGGCGCTACAATAGAGGCACACGGGTAAGTAAACACCATTATAAACGTTACTAATTCATCTATATTAACATTGTTACTACCAGAGGGCTTGACATAAAAACCTTAAAAGTGTGATGGACGCTGCGCATACAACGCCATATTGGACTTTCTTGCCCAATGAATTTCTGTAAGTTTCACTTCTTCACTGATGAAACAACAACAACAACAACAACAACAACAACAACAACAACATCAACAACAACCCAGGGATAGCAGATCCCTGCGCTCGCTTGCGGATCGGAAGGTCGTGGGTTCGGATCCCGGAGTCGACTTTTTCTATAACCGATCTTAGCTCCCAAGTCGACCCAGCGTTAAACTGTTAAGAGAGGCAGTCCCGGGAAGTAAAGTACGCCAGCCTGATGTTCACCACATCACCCACCATGTTCAGTCCGATTCTTTGTGAGCTTCTCTTTTCAGGATCGCAGGTAATAAAATGACCAGTATTTCCCCAACTTTTCTTAGTCGCGGCGCCATGTTTAATTAAAAATTGTCTATGGCGCCCTAACCTGTTCGTATGTAAGAGATAAGAAAAAAAAAATAACTTAAACTCGTGCATCTTCGAATATCTTCGAAGAGGTCGCTACCCTGGGCGCCGCAGCACACAGTTTGGGAATCACTGACAGGCTATAACAGGTCGACCTAGTCTAAATGGATGCCAGGAAATATCGTGATGATAAATAGCTGGCCGAAAGTGGCATTGACTAGCCGGTGAAACAGGAAGTGGACAAACAACCTTAACTTTCTGTCGGAGTTTAAAGCTGGTGAATGCAAAGAAGAAAAAGAAGATAGGACGATATATTCTTACTAATACGGAAGCGACAAAGTCACAGACGATGTCACAAGGCAAGCAAGAACAGCATCTGTGGCGTTATAAGTAGACCTTCACTGATTTATTAACAGTACATTTGGCATTGTAATAGAAATAAACATGTAAGTGAACACAATTACACAAGTTTTACACACACACACACACATATATATATATATATATATATATATATATATATATATATATATATATATATAAAACTAACATAGACATAATAGGTAAAAATTGTATCTGTATATTTCATTGCCAGTTGGCTTCTTCTGCGCAGAAATTTATTTCGTGGTGGTGTGAATTGTAAATTCAGAAACTGGCGCCGTCGTCGCAATGTTGGTTGTACCCGTATGTGAGTAACATTGATCGCGTGGGCATCTGCTGATCTGTTGGTGACTTCTGCTACCATCAATGACGAACTGCATTTCTAATGTCGGACTGTTTGTGTTAGCACTTCGGATAGCTACCGTATGCATTAATGCCTTTGTATGTTTGACATGCTGAGACAGCTGTCTGTAAGTGTTTCCACAAGGGACTGTGATCAACATTTTGAGTGTTTTTCGTTGGCACTGGAGCGGAGCAACTGTGGAGTGACCCGTTTGCTATAAGGCTAAAGCTAAGACTACCAGACTACCAGAAATGTATTTCCTTAGGAGCCTATGACTTTTCTCAGCTATATCTTGCTGTTGTTTTGTTTTGTTTTTGTTTTTCATATCTAGCTTTTAAGATTTCTGCACTGATAGGTAATAATGAATATTTAACATGTCAGCATGTATTTGGTTAACTCCATGTGCAAAACTAAGTTCGTGAAAATACTTTAGAGACCTCTGACTGTTCGTGACCATTTCTTTAACAGGATAATCCTGACTACAAAGTTGCAGTGGCGGCAACCGACGCACTCCGCAAAATGGGGTTAGTAAAGTGTTCCGTGTTTTGTTCGCTTATACTGTTTGTGTGTGTGTGTGTGTGTGTGTGTGTGTGTGTGTGTGTGTGTGTGTATATATATATATATATATATATATATATATATATATTGGAGTTAGTATGTCATTTGTTGTAATATCATAAAAATGGGGAAATAAGGTGTTCAGTGTTTTGTCCCCTGTATACTAATTTTTCTATGTGGAGTTAGCATGTCATTTCTTGTAAAACAATAGAAATAGGGACAAGAGGGCTCCGTGTTTTGTCCCATGTGTACTGTTTCTCTATGTGACGTAGTATGCCATTTGTTGTATTAGAGAAATAAAGTGTTCCGTGTTTTGTCTCCTGTTTACTCTTTTTATGTAGAGTTAGTATGCGCTTTGTTGTAATGCACAAATGCAGCTGAACTCTTTGACCAAGACTTCATCTGTTGGCACCTTTCCGCCTTTCCAGACGACACACTGTGCTATAGGCAGGTAAGGACATTGCAGCTCATGGCGATGGCGATGGCGAAGGTGACTAGCAAGACCCGCCTGCATTTAGGAAAGTCGACAACGATTAAAGCAAAGGATTTCAGAACTGTTGTCTGGAGTAGGGATTTGAACACATTAGCATCGGAGGATACTCAAGCGGTCTGTTAGACACTGCTGCTATGGTGACTGTAGTAAATATCTTTTAACCTAGATTTAAAAAAAATAATAAAAAAAAAAAAATTAACACAACAAAAATTATTTTGACCCAATGTTGCAGGATAAAAGTTCGAGGTCACTGTATGTTCTGGGCAGTGAAGGGAAATGAGCCTGATTACGTATCCCCGTTAACTGGTCAGGACTTGAAGGACGTTGTGGATGAACAAATAAAGTACATGACCAACATTACGAAAGGAAAGTATGTTACTTGTTTCTGTGTTATGTTATGTTTTCATAATCGATATCACTGCACATTGTGTATTCCCATACCTGCTCAGTCCATCGAAGCAGGAGCCACCACAAAGTACCTCTACTGAGCGTTCCGATGAGACGTTAATACGTTAATTGTTTTATGTGTGTTCGAGTGTTTATGTGTGTGTGTGTTCTGACATGTGAGTGTGTGTGTGTTCTGACATACCTTAGTCAGTTTGTACGTCCGACTGTCCGCCTATCTGTCTATGAATCAGTCTACATATCTGTACGTACACAAATGTGAGCATGTTCCCACGGGCATGTTCTCCTGTGTGATATAGTGCACAATTTGAATGATTTGGTCATTTATAAATTAAAAGTATTTTTAATCCACGTGGTTACAGGCCATCTCAGTTTCATGTTGTATTTAATATCACATTGGATAAATAAGAAACTATAATGTTACACTGCTATAGTTGGACACATCACACGGGACAGACACAAGTCTTTCTTAAATACAACACGTTGAATAATGACTCTCTGACGTCTTTCCAGAAGATAGTTTTGTATTGTTTTATACGGATGCTTGGGAATCACAGGATAAGGCGATGGTCAGTTAACATCAGGGATGAAGTTCCTACTGTCTGCAGCATAAAGCTTGGGCGGTGTTGTGGAGATGTTGTGTTGCCCGCGCAGAAAGATCCCTCACTAGGCCTGTCTTATTTACTAGAGAAGAAATATGAGAGCAATACGTTTGGAACAAACATGCACAGCTGCAAGCAGAGGCTAAGGGCATGGTCATCCTTGCCCTAACACTAAAGAATATATTAGAACAGAACAAGATAAAACATCTCGTATAGCGAAAATATTAACCCGGGGATTAACACAAGATATACGCACTAATTTATAGAAGTTATTGCATGATAAACAACGAAAATGTAGAGAAGTTTAAAAAAGAAAACATTCCTTGGCAGATTTATGACGCTGGTTGGGACAATCTTGGAAGACTGTGGGATGTAACACATAAATGCATTGTGGCTAAACCGTTAAGACGCTGGAGAAAACCTCACGGCGAGTACCAACGTATCATGAGTAAAAGAACTCACTTTCTTAATTCCTAGTTCATAAATCAGTGGAGTGTGAAAGACCAATGCTGGAAATTAATATCTGCA